TAAAGTGGTGCAGCTATGACCACTTTGTAGGCCAAATGCAGTCGCTGGAAGTCTTCTTCAACCGACGACTTCAACGTCACCACACAGTCTTCAGTTTTTATCTTTGTCCTAGAAAGTTTGAGTTAGAATACAAGAGCAAAATTATAAGCATACAAGGCTGTAAAAGTGGACTAATTTTACTTGTTCGGCATGATTTAGTGGTTGATTGGGGTCAGTTGATTGGGACATTTTTTCCAAGTTTGTCACTGGAAAGAAGTGTCCTGACTCCTGTCCACTTTTTACAAGTTATCTCACTGGAAAAAAAAGTGTCCCTACAGGCTACCTGAATTCGTAATCTCCCTGACAGCCTCTGTAGTCCCACGAGTGTGGTAATACTGATTTATTGTATTTCATAGAATAAAATGTGAAAGTATCTTCAGCTTGTGTTCACCACCACAGACCTTTTTTTCAGCCATTTAACCAAACCTATTAAAACTGTTGACTTTGGGACGATGGAACCTGAAGTGAAATTGTAAAATGTGAACTTGTTTATTTTGTTTTAGTATTTTTCCATTAATTTTCCCCATAAGGATTTAAAAAAAGAAAAATCTAAAATCCGTTAAAGAGTTATAAGCCATGGATCAAGACAATCAGATGAGGTAAATCACAACAAAAAAAGTATTTGAAAGTCAGACAAAAATATAAAGGTACAAGATAACTTTTTTAGTGAGGGAAAGAACTGCTATAGTGAACAGCATATTCAAAAATGGAGAAACATAAAACTATTAATTTACAAATGTTGATTTTATATATATTTATTTTGATTACCTGTTTTTCTTTTTTCTCCATTTTGTTCTTAACAGCTCCCATTCTCTGAGGTGGAGCAGTGATGAAATATTGTTGCTTTTTGAATGATGAAATAAACAAAATAATCTGTTTCACACAAGTAATAATCCACCCTGAATCTCTACAACCAGGCACCCACACAAATACACACACAGTGACACACTTGCTGCTGCAGCATTTTAATAGGCTCATTCTTATGTGTTTATTTGGCTATAACAAATTTACACATGTGATTAATGAGATCGCAACAGCCAAGTTGACCAACAAGGGCAGGCTACAAATAAACAGTGACATCCTGATATGGGAGCTAGGACAGCTGAACACTAAACAATCTGTTGCTAAAAATAATCATCTGCATTCAATCACGTGTAGGCTACATACATTCACTCTGCATGAGGTAACAATGATGTCAGTGTACAATGATGAGTTAAAATGAGTCTGAGCTTTATGGTAATGTTTGAGAGAGGATATTCTTCCAATCACTGTACCTTTTAGGAAAAGAGTTATGTATTTATTATTATTGCAAAAAAAAAAAGGCAGCGAAGAAGAGTACAGTCATTAACAAGCTGATTTCATGCAGCCGCCATTTTGAAATCAAAAATGAGGCTCTGGTGGGAAGAACCCAAGACAACCCCGGATAGACAACAATGCCTTGGACTACAAACCTGAAGCTGCTGCCGTGATTTACACTAGTGGATGTTAATATCCAATATAGGATATTTATATAGTTTGTTCCTGCTTCTTTTTTTACATTCTGTAAAAAAATTATATATTATATATAAAAAATTATTTATTTATATTAGGCTATAGCTTCTGTAGTCTATAAAGAAATGTACATTTTTAGAATAACTAATTTGTACATTAAACACAACAATAGTCTGACTCAAATCTATGACTCTAAAAGGCAACACTTCCGGTCTTCTTCCCACCGGAGCAATTTCAAAATGGCAGCTGCGTGAAATCAGCGTATAGCCATGGGCTCATGCCTGTAGATGTCTGGTGTCTTGTTTATAATTCTATGCCATAAATTACTGTCTAGTGTGAAGTGCCCTCACTGAATGAATGTTCCATGCCAGCAATGTCATCAGTCAATCCTCAATGGAGATTTACGCTTCTGTTGAGCCAGCATTTTAGTCATTTTGTCATTCCTCATTCTGCAAATGTGTCAGAACAATCTCAGCTTTCTTTGAATAAACTCTTGAATGCATTTTTGTTACAAATTAATAAATACACTTGCACTGTTATAAAAAACTTTATTCACCCTTAAAAGGTTCAAAATCTGATGCACCTTTTATTGGTTATCGGGGGTTATAGTGCCATGGCCTGGATAGGAGTGAGGTTTAGGGGGTGAGGGTATAATGGAGGCTAGCTAACTCACTCACTTGGCTTATTGAAGAAAGCTAGAGACTGTGTCCTTGTAATCATACCCGCCTCCCATGATGGAAACGCTATTGAAATCCTGTCCTGGTTATCCATCAACAGAGATTTGATCAGACTTACCAACGACTATGGAACTTTAAACCCGAAACAAAGTGAAGAGACTAGCAAAGGCCAACATCAGAAACACTGCCAAGTTTCCAAGTGTGAGGCATCCACTGCCTACGCTGTAAAAATAGTTTTATAAGTCTCTTAGAACAAGATACACAAATGTCATTTTAAATAAAGAAGCAAGAAGAAAAACAGCTTATAGATAGATACAGACATATACAGACACTACAGACATGATTTGAACAGGTTTTCTAAAATGACCGCATTGGAAATGAATGGGAGACGTTTTTCATTTGGATGCGTCCAAACAAAATCTTATTGAAAGCTCTTCTTGTTTTTTTTATTAAGATATTAGGCTCAATTTTTGAACACAAATTGTTTAGATTTAGGCTATGACATTGATTTTCTTATAGTTTTAGAGTTTTAAGCATGTTTTTTGAAAATATATATTTCATATTAAATTAACATAGTATTTTTGCACATTTTTCATAACAATAAACGTAAAATTCTGTCATTTTTTTTAAAGTTCACTTTTTAAAACTTCTCGTCAGCAATAATCTGCTAAGTGTCGTATTTGAAAAGGGATCAAACTCTGTGCTCTCTAAAGCATTCAAGATTTACAACAGTTTAAGTTGGAAATTACATTTGTCCATGCTCAAAAAGTGAATAAATGGATTATAAATACAGCATAAATATAATTTTGTACCATAAATTCCCTATAATACAACATATTAAATACAAAACATTAGCAAAGTAAAATATACAGTAGTAGCCTACATTAATTTCACTGACATTTTTTTTTTATTTCGATCATTTTTGACCGACATGCAAAGAGCACCTAAGCACAATAATAAACAAACACAAACAAACAACAAAAGCATAAACAAACAAATTAATTAAAATAAATAGAATAATTACCAGAACATTTCCTGGTACAGAAACCAAACTTTCAGTATTGCATTCATATTAAAATAATTATTGTAAAAACTTTTAATATTTAAAAAAATGTAAAATTATTGTAAAAAAAAAATTACAAACTATACGGACTAACATAGGCTTAATAAGAATTGTAGCCTACTCCTTCTAAAGGCTGAATAAATAAATCAATTTACTCGCTTATGTTATGTTGTATTATAGCCTCCAAAAGATTTCTAGAACTAAAGTTCATAGTTCTTGCGGTGCGCACGCGGCAACATCCGATACTTTCGCCAAGTTTTAGGTCTAGGCAGAGCCAATACATGGCTCTGGGTCTAGGAACTATGAAAAAGTTCCGAAAGCCCCTTATTATGCTTATTATGCAGGCAAACCTGTCCGATGTGAGCATGCGCACTAGACTGTGTTGCGTAAACGCGGAATCGGCTGTTGTCAAGAAACTGTTTTGTAGTTGAGTTATAAAGTCTTTTGTGTCGTCCTTGCTAATTTTCTAAGCAAAGTGTCCTTGTCTCTACAGAACCCATTTATCATCAAACCAATCTGATCCATAGATCTGATCCCGCTACCTACCTACGTTAGGCATTCAGATATGAGTGACGAGGATGAAAGAGACAGAAAGAAGATGAAAAGAAAAACTGGTCCGAATGATTCAAAGGCTCCTGAGAAGAAGAGACAGAAAATAAAAGACAAAAACGAAGAAAAGAGCAGCGCAGTCAAGAAATCACGCGGTATCTATCTATCTATCTATCTATCTATCTATCTATCTATCTATCTATCTATCTATCTATCTATCTATCTATCTATCTATCTATCTATCTATCTATCTATCTATCTATCTATCTATCTATCTATCTATCTATCTATCTGTTATCTAATCAGCGTTTGTGAAACTTCGTTTATCTAGGTTTTCACATTTTCCACGTTAATGAAACCCTACATTATCAATAATAATATATTGTTGTTAGATTTTTGTGTTTATTAAAATACTCAGACGTTTAAAAAAAAAAAGTCCTCCCACCTTCAATAGCTTTCAACATCTTTTTTTACATTTATTTACAGTTTTTCTCAGTCGCTTTGGTGCATCTCACATCACTATTTACATTTGTACAGTTGATAACCTGCAAAAGTGTGTCACTTGCTCAAAATGGATAACTCATTCCTCAAAAGCAAGTATTCATGTCATTGAAAGTGTCAGTGTTGTCAAGATAAAAAAAAGTCCTCCTAACACCACTAGTGTTTATGAACAAGATAGTCAAATGGCTTTGTCGTGTTTTCATTATGACAGTTTACTCTGTAAGTGTTTGCCAATGCAAAAAAGTCAGATCTTGGTGACACTACCTGAAAATGCTCAAGACAGTCCTATAAACTATTTGCACAGCCACTTGAAAACTACAGTAAAGTTTCACATTACTGTATTTAGTGAGGTACAGTAATTGAAGACACTGAATATCTATGTTTCACATTTTTACTGCATGGTCTTAGCAATTTTAATTTGTTCAGAGCATTGTGCAAAAGAAAAAAATACAGCCTTATTTACAACAAACATAAACTCCCTTTGGGTAGATCGGTGCACAACTGTAAACAATATCACAGTACATATTGGAACTGAACATACTGTAAATCATTCATGCACATCTCTTCTCATCAGTGAAAGCTGAGGTTCACCTGCGAGAAATTGTTCAATTTAGGATAAAAAAGTTTGTTTTAAAGATAAACAGACGAATTTTGACAACTAGTTTAACATTTTTGTATGTGATGACTCGCACAATGAAATGTGGACTATTAGTTTTATATGGAATCACTATTCAGCATTCACAAGTATAGTTAATTTGGACTGATATGACATAAGCAAATGATAATGTTATAAAACAGCAGTGAGTTGTATGAAAGCAATTGATGCATGTCCAAACGCATTTGCAATTTGTTGAAAGGAGAAACTGCTACTATGTGCACAAATGACAAAATGTTGTGGAGGTTCAACTAACTGTTGTGCAAATGTAAATAGTGATGTGAGAAATGCACCAAAGCGACTGAGAAAAACTGTATTATGCATAAATAAGCCTTGAGAGGCCTTCAGCCTTCGTAAGAAGTACCCTGCCTCTCAGAGAGAGATCTCTTTGTTGCCTGGGTAAATCTCTTCTGAATTTTATCTGTATGGGGTTGGAAATTAAAAATGCATCTTTCTTTTTGGTGCTTCACTATTTAAACTCCTAGATAACAAACGTTTTCTTTCACAGGAATACCGTGAATAAAGGAGTCATTGCAGTTTTTTATGGTCAAAGCTCACATTTTTGAACATTTAAAAGCGATCCCGAGGCTTTGGAAAATGATTTAATAACACTTATTGCCAAAGGGATCTGCATAGCATCCCTAAGAAAGAGGGTCGTGTCATCAGCAAGCCAACTGATGCTCTCTTTCAGCTATAGCTACTCCTTTCAAATTGCTGGTTTTTATGTGAGCATAGAGAAGAAAAAAGAAAGAAGAGAAGAAAAAGTCGAGGTGAATTGGGGCAGCCCTGGCTTATTCCCCTTGACATTACAAAATGGTGGGTTGCGCCATGATTTAGGACCACAGAACTACTGCCATTTGTATATAAAGTTCTTATTGCATGACAGAAGAAATCTCCAAATCCAAATTTTTCAAGACACTGAAAAATAAACACATATAGTGTCGAAAGCTTTACAAAAATCTAAAAAAAAAGAACAAAACTATCATCAGAAACTAGACTAGAATAATCTAAGATATCTAAAACTAAATGTATATTATTTGATATGTGTCTATTAATGATGAATCCAGATTGAGCCTCATCTAAAACCGAGCATGTTTTATTCTCTTGGAATATACTGTACGGGAGCCAAAATCTTATTATCATTATTTAATAAACTTATTGGGCGCCAATTGTCAATAAAGTGCAAATATTTGTTCTGTTTAGGGAAATTATTCCTTGAGTATTACTGGGAGATATTTATGGTTTTTAAATCTATTGATAAACACTTTCAAAAGAAAAGGGGCAAGAATATCCGAGAACTTTTGGTAGAATGCTGCTGAATTTCGTCATTTCCAGGTGACTTGTTGAATTTGAGATGTTTTATGGAATCAGCTACCTCTTCTAATATTATATCCTGATCACAAAAACTGTTTTCTATAGCACTTATTGAATTTACACTTTCTAAGGAGTCTAAGAAGAAAGTGGGAGTGAGTGTAATGGTTAGCAAAAAAGTTTAGACAAAAGCGGGAAATAGTTTGACAATCGTAACATGACCATTAAGGCTCAAGTGGTGAATTGTGTTAAGTTTATCCCGCTGTCATTCAAGATTGAAAAAAATATGAGTTTTGTTAACCTTTTTCTAACCACTTAACTCTTGACCTGACAAACCTTGACCCCTTCTGCTTTACGTTCATAGATCTCATCTAATTTATATTGAAGACCAGTCAATCGCAATCTCTCCTCAGGTGAGAGCTTGTCAGGAGAAACCATAGAAAGAGAGGTGATTTCAGACACAATTTGCTCCTCTGAAATTCTATTTACTTTAGAAAGCAAAGCACCATATGGCCTTAGATATTTACCAACTTCATATTTAAAAAGTTCCCAATATCGGTTTCTTTTCTTCCCACCCATCCAAAGTGACGTTAAAACTCACGTAAAATGGTAAGCTAACAAAACTCTAAATCAAAAAGTGTAGTCTCCAAAACCGAATTAGGCTAATTATTAGGCGAATTAGGATAATTAGCTATTAGACATTTGTGATGCAGAACTCGACAAAAAGGCGTCAGCTCTGGTGGCCATCTTGGTCCCGCCACTCTAATTAAGTGCATCATCATAGCCCGACTACTTCAGACTTTGTACTTTTGCTAAATTTCAGTTCGCTTCTGTACTCAGTCTGAGATAGCGACCTATCTCTCAGTTTCCCTCCGGCCTGAAAAAAGCCAGCCAATCAACGAACAGAGGGCGGGCTGAGAGCTGTGACGTAGACGCTAAGAGCCGAGTTTAAGATTGTATTTTAGGTTAGGGAAACCGAGATACGGGATACATTTTGCTCTGTTGTGGAGAATATTCCCGGCATTTGCAAAATGAAGCCCGAACAAGAAAAGTGTTTGTTAAAAAGTTTGAAAGGAGGTGATGTTATGTGATTGGCTTGTGGGTAACCAATGATTTTATACTTACAACAAGCGACTTTACCAACTAGCTGTGGACAGTGTTACTTTGTGCAATATTTGATCTCATACTTAATATGCTTTTTTTACTGACAATTATTTTCTCAAAAACCCTGGTCAGTGAATATTGGATTATTTTATAGTCAACAAAATAATTCTAAAACAGTTAATAAATTATATTTTGAAAATATCCTTTATTGTTTTTTTATACATTTACATTTTATATATTTACGATGATGTTTCAGAGATCGTAGGTCAGCGACATTGTTAAGAGACTGTGTTTTGTAAACTGTTTTTCTCTGATATTCAGCTCCCGATGGTAAAGCTGACTCTACAAAAACTAAAGTGGAGGTCTCTGGCAAAGACAAGGACAAAAAGAAAAAAAAGAAGGATGAGAAAAACAACTCATATGATGGCAAAAATACTTCTGAAGTAAAGAGAAATGAGAAAGGACAACTTGTGTTTGAAGGTGAAGTTAAGAATATTTTGTTGTATAGTTTTGTCATTTATTCATTCATTCAATCGATCATTCACTCATTTTTTCACTATCTTTTCATTTTATCTGTTGTTCTATCTAGACCACCCAGAGTTCACACCTAACATGACTCCCAAAGAGGTTTTACAGGCAGGCAGTTTTGGGGGTACCTATTTCAGGCCCATCTACTCCAGTATCACAAGTATGTCTCATAATGATTTAAGTTGGTTTAATTGATTTTCAAAACATGCACAGTGCTTTTTAATGATGTTTTATTACAATTACAGAAAGATCCTAACTTTAAAATCCTATCTTATCTGTTTGGTAACCAAGAACCTCTATGTTCACTTGGACAAGAAAAAAAAAAGTCAAATCACGTAGAAATAGATCAAATTATTTACTGTGAACTTTCCTCTTAAAAAGTTTGTCACATGTACTTGTGACTTGATTCGGACTTGAGCAAGAGACACAAGAAAATACTTTTTTCCCCTTCTTTTTTATATTTCTGATTGTAAAAGCCACTCCACATGTCCTTTTGGAGGCAGTGAGGCACACTCAAATGTGTTGCAATTATTATGCATTCAACTGTAAATGTTGAAGTATTGCCAGATGTTTTTTTTTTTTTTTTTTTTTTTTTAACAGAGAAACATTACAAAGATGTTTGGCAGGAGCTTCCCGAAGACTGGTTGGATGGACTGAACATCTCTAAACAGGTGTTATTCTTTACGATTGCATTTTAATAGTTTAAGCTTTTGACAAAATGAACAAAGGTTTTATTTTAAGTGTGTGTGTATGTGTGTGTTTTATTCAGTTGACTCTTTTGCCCTAGATCACAATGGAGCTCTTTGTGATCAGTTCATGGACTGTTTTATGATACTGTATTAATAGTTCTTTTTATAACTATCATTGATATAATTTTTACTGATCTACTGTTATTTTTTATGTGGTAAGTGTCTTATGTTGTTTTATGCGGTATTTTATGTTAACTGGTCATTTACTTTTATAGCCTTAGATCGGATCTCAGGGCTTTGAGCATGTGATAAGAGATTCTCACGCAAAAGAGAAAACCATGAAATTTTAATTAGCCACAAGACATTGCTTACACTTGATAAAAATGAATGAATAGTTGATAACAGTTAGATTACCACACACACTACTGTAGTTGACAACAGCTAGATTGCTGCAAGCTAGCAAACACCATTTATGGTTTTCATAAACAGCATATTCAGCTTGGGGATGCTGATGTATGCATGCATTTGAGATGTAATTGAAACTTTTGTGAATATGTTGTGAGTATTATAGAATTTGTTGTTTTTTAAACAATCTGGGTTTATTTCAGGTGGCTTCATCCACGTATAGGGAAAATGTGAACACGTATAAAGTAAAATGTGGAGGCAGTCTAGAGATGTGGGAAAGCAGTGGGTGGATCGTGACCCAGGATCCATACGGCTGGTTCCAGTGGTATTGCAGGCAAGAGCTTCTGCAACTCACTTTACACTACTGTGTAAATCCAAATACATGCATGTTGGGACTATTGAAGGGGTGACCACTATTAGAAGAAGACAGCACTAAAAGCTAATAGTTGTCCAAATATATATATATTATTTACCCTCCTATGCTCTGCATAGGAAATATATTAAATCTTAAAAATTCAAAGATTTAATTTATCTTTGTCTTTTACACATTCATGTTCTGTCTTCCAAGCAGGTTTTACCAGGGCAGACGAACTATGGATGATGCACGGCAGATCAGTCGCTGGGCCAAATGTGCAGGAGTCAAAGGTCGGTGGCGGCAAAATCTCATCACTAAAGTTGTCCGGTCCGGTTGTGGTTATGACAACTCCGGTGTTTCCCCGGTGGTCAGACAGACTCTACAGCACTGGGGCTACAAACTCACCCAGGAGGACTATAAGGAAGGAGCAAAGAGAGTTAAACTCAAATAAAATGAATACACTTTCAAATTGGTCTCATCTGATTTAACACAGTGCAGAAGTGTGTGGATCAAGCTGGCTTTATTGCATGGGCATAAATTGACATATCTGATTAAATAATTGTTTAGGTTTTGTTGGACTGGGGGACTTGTTTAGCTTAGTAGACTTGTGGCAATATTACTGCTGTATTTAGTTTCCATTGGGCATGGTTTCTGTAAGTGTTTTTGGGAAATTATTATTTTTTTGAATCCAAGGTAAAAGCAGACAAACTTTTACACAATGTAAAAACTGTGTTCAGTTTTATACCACATGTGTCCTGGAGGAATTTGAAGAATGGATCTGCGATCTGATCTGGCCATTTTTAAAATGAATTTATTTGTGACAGTTATCGTTTTTTCTATAGGTTTATTTTTAATATATGCTGTACATGCTTATGTGATGTTTCTTGAGAGTGTCATATACAAACATATCTTTCCAGTCTGTCATCTGTGAATGCAGTTTATTAAAGTCGCTTTTTTTGTATCTGTTATTTTCGTCTTTTTTTTTGTTGTCACTACACATCACAACAAAGTTATGGTTTTAGAAATAGCCAGGTTTATATGGGTAATTTCTGTTATGCAGTACAAATTTGTGTCCTCATCATATATGTATTGATATATTAGATATTAGTTGATGTAATAGATGGATATCACATTAGGTAGCTTTTCTTTTACCACAATATCTAAATTAAGTGAACACATGTTTAATTTGTTCACAATTGCAATTTCACTACTTGTTGTTTGATTCAGCTCACTTTCTTTTAAGAAATGTATATAAAGAAAATCAAATGGAACGTTAAAAATATTTTAAAAATATATTTTTTAATTAAAGCACTGTCAGTTAACGTCTTGGTGAATAAAAAATGTGTACATTGGGTTATAAATATTTGTTATGAAACGGACACTGGTTTTATTGGTTGCGCTTCCTCAACACTGGGCGGCACTAGCAACTTTCAATCCTGTTTTACGCTTTTATCAATCCACGCCGCTCACAAACTTGTTTTTTTCACTCATGTCATTTCCTATTGTTTAAAAACGCCAACAACCAATGAACATTTTATAACATGTTAACGTCATTTTCTTGACGTAAAATCGACCAATCGAAAGCGGCAAATCGTACGCCGGAAAACCCAGCGCCAGCCAATGAGCAGTTAGAGCATTCAGCAGGTTAAGGTGTACGGCGTTCCGCCCTTCTCCTCTTTGTGATCAACGCTGCGTGTGTTACCGAAGCGGATTATAAACACTTATTGAAGGTATTAAAACACTTATATTTCGCTTATATTCTCTGCATATGATGCATGCTTTTATTCCCTAATGAATGCATTAGTGCACATCAGTTGGAGATAAGCCCGTGCTATTCCGTGCTCTTCGAGTGTTTGGCCGGCTCAGGCTTCACTTTGAAAACCCATAAACGCTCATTAATAAAGAAACCAGATAAGTATTAATTGTATAAATGCATGCAGCAATTCACACTCGTTATTAAAAGTAATTCGATCTTAATTGATAAAAACAGCGAACAAAGAAGTCATTAGCGCAGACTCAAACAATAATTGAAAACAAAGATACCAAATTGCACCCGCAAATAGTGAAATCACCGTCTTAATGAAAATGTCTACTAAATTAAGACATTTATTAAATATGCATTAATGAATAGATGCTCAATTTAAATAACATGACCATTGATAGAAAAAAAATCAAGCTCTTTTGTGATTTCTTCTAAATTATGTAACTTAATGTAATCAGATTTTTGTTCCTTTTCATCGTCTCTTGTTTATGTGTTCACACTGTATGTCCAACGTAGATTTTCCCAATAAGAATTTCACTGAATGATGCTAAAAGAATGATAAAAGATACTGCAATATCAGTGAATCCTCTTAAATCAGCAGAACAACATCCATCATGGCTTTGTTTATACTTTTGAATGAGTATTTCTCTCAGGTTTTGGAAACAATCTTCTATAAAAGATTGTATTGATGATTTATGTGCTTTAAAAGATGCAAGGAAACAGAGGACCACGTTCAGAGCAGCAGAATCACGGCCCACCCCGACAGCAGCCCAACCCCCAACAAGACCAGCAGAGGAAGCCCCCAGGAGCCGACAGCAATGGACAACACACTGATGCTGGAGAGCAGAGTAGCCCGAGTAAGAAACAGTTTTACACAACACTGCCACACAGATATTTGGCTTTATATTGATTGTTGCTGACTGAACTTTCTCTCCTACAGATGCTGCTTTCACTATAGACCTGCCGAATTTCAGGAAGCCGGGAGAGAAAACGTACACACAGAGGAGTCGGCTGTTCGTGGGGAACCTTCCCACTGGAACCACAGAGGATGATGTGGAAAAGCTCTTCTCCAAGTATGGAAAACCTTCCGAGATCTTCATCAACAAGGAACGTGGCTTTGGCTTCATCAGGCTGGTGAGTTTGACCAGCCATCACCTAGGCAAAAAATAAATAAAGCACTTTGGGCAGGGCAGTATGATGATATAACTCATGAAGTGTCTATCATTAGAGATTTTGCTAAATCAGTTATATATCGATATGTAAATATGTCCACGTAACACGGTACTACTTAAAGTTATTGACATTTTAAATAAAGAGTGCTTAAAGAAAGCTGCCTCTCAGCATGCAACCCAGATTTCAGGTCTCTTTCGTGGCTTATTGCGCTTTAGTGGTCAAATACACAAAGTTGTTAAAATGGTTATATAAACAGACTATGAACGGTGGCTGAAAACCTGATATGTGTCAGTATATTAGATCTATGCTTTATTTTTCAAAGTGACAGCATTGTTAATCAAACAACAAAAGACAAAGAAAATAGCTCACTGCTCTTGACTGAGTATTATTTGTATCTTCACAAATTGTAAAAATTGTATTCTAAAAATAAACCTACTTGATTACCGTAAACTGAAAGTTTAATTGATTTGAATTTCTTCAATTGAATTTGTCCTGTTGTTTGTATCTGCTTGCTTGTCTAGCAGAGGTAAAGGCATGGATGTCCCTAAATTTTCTCCACCTTAATGAAGACAAAACTGAAATTATTGTTTTCGACCCACCAGAAGCCGCAAGTTCTCACTGCTTAAATCTTGGCTCTCTATCTCAATGTGTTTAAACCAATTGTGAAGAATTTGGGCGTGACTTTTGATGAAGCCCTTAAATTTGATAAACAGATTAATATGGTAGTCAAGACCAGTTTTTTTCATCTCAGACTCCTAGCCAAAGTTAAACCATTTCTCTCTTTCAAAGATTTCGAAAAGGCGATACATGCCTTTATCTCAACGAGGCTTGATTACTGCAATTCTTTGTATCTGGGCATTAACCGTGCACCACTCAACCGCTTGCAAATGGTACAGAATGCAGCTGCTAGGCTCCTTACTGGGGTGCGCAAACGGAATCATATTACTCCGGTTCTGAAATCTCTGCACTGGCTCCCAATCTGTTACAGAATAGATTTTAAAGTGCTGATGCTGGTTTTTAAATCCTTGAATGGATTGGCTCCTGTATATATGTCTGACCTTCTATCCAGTCACAACTCGGGAAGGTCTCTTAGGTCATCCAACCAGAGACTATTAACTGTTCCGCGGTCCAGATTAAAAACTAGAGGAGATCGAGCTTTTGCCGTGGCTGCACCAAAACTTTGGAACAGCCTCCCTGCCCCTATTAGATCTGCCTCTTCACTTCATGAGTTTAAAGCTAAACTCAAAACATATTTTTTTTCCCTTGGCTTATAACTGTAGTTGATGTGTGCTGTGTTTGATATGTTCAGTGATTTGTTTGTAATTGAAATCTATGTTGTACTTGGTGCGGAATCTTGATGACGTTCGTTGTACAGCACCTTGGTCAACAACTGTTGTTTTTAGTGGTGCTATATAAATAAAGCTGAGTTGAGTTGAGTATTTTGGTACTTATTTTTAATTTAATAATAATGGAAAAAAACTAAATGGTTCTTATTGTGAAATAAGATTTTGTCCATATCACCCACCCCTAGAGAGTGACTGGTTTTTACTTTCAGTAAGCTTGACCTGACCAAATGTATTCATACCTAAAACTGCATTTTGGATGGTCAGTCAATTAACCTTGTTTAGCTAATTGACTCAAGATCATATTTCTATTATATAACAAGGTCATACATTTGTTTTCAATGACATCAGTTCTCAGACAGCAAATAACCAATACAATAGTCACCCTGACTTGCTGCTTTCTTCTCATTAGGAAACGAAGACGCTTGCGGACATAGCTAAAGCAGAACTGGACGACGCCGTCTTCCGTGGTCGCCAGATCCGTGTGCGTTTTGCCACACATGGCGCTGCACTGACGGTTAAGAACCTGCCTCAGTTTGTGTCCAATGAGCTCCTGGAGGAGGCCTTCTCCATGTTCGGTCCAATCGAACGGGCCATTGTCATTGTCGATGACCGTGGCAGGCCAACTGGGAAGGGCATTGTGGAGTTTGCCAACAAACCGTCCGCTAGAAAAGCTCTGGACCGTTGCGGAGATGGAGCCTTTCTTCTCACGGCGTGAGTCTGTGTTTCTGTTGCTCTCTGCGTTAATTGTAGTTGGTTTACTTAAGTTTGACTTTTATTTCCCAAACTCAGATTCCCCCGGCCTGTTACCGTTGAGCCGATGGAGCAGCTTGATGATGATGAGGGACTTCCTGAAAGACTTATTAATAAAAACCCGATATATCACAAGTGAGTTTGTTTGTTGTCTAATATGCAATTGTATTTGTAAATGGTGGTGCATTACCAGACTGTTATTATCCATGTTTCCTATGAGCATGGAAGACTTGGAAATATTTAGAATAATGTATTTCAGGCATGGAAAAAGTTCTGGAAATTTACAAAGTAATTGAATATTTTATTTTTCTAGATGTTCTCAAAAATTGTGAGTACTACCTTTTAATTATTCCCCCCCAAAAGTTTTAATCTGTGTCATGTATGTATGTGAATGGAAGGTAAGTGTTCAAAAGGGTGTGGGCATTTATAACGTTATAATTTTATATTCTAATAAAAGGTTAAACAGGAGAACAATTTTCTTGTGGTGATGACCAGTAGACTGTGCATTATCCAGGTCATTACACCGCTTTAAAAATAAACTAACATGTATTTTTCTATATGTCCATTAGAGAACGTGAGCAGCCGCCCCGGTTTGCCCAGCCAGGTTCATTTGAGTACGAGTATGCGATGCGCTGGAAGGCCTTAATGGAAATGGAAAAGCAGCAGTTCGACCAGGTTGATCGAAACATCAAAGAAGCTCAAGAGAAGCTGGAGACCGAAATGGAAGCCGCACGTCATGAGCACCAAGTCATGCTGATGAGACAAGGTGAGCAGCACACGCAGATTTATCTATTGGAGGTTGTAAACCTTAAAGGGTTGGTTCACCCAAAAATGAAAATTAAGTCATTAATTACTCACCCCCATGCTGTACCAACCCCGTAAGACCTTCGTTTATCTTCGGAACACAAATAAAGATATTTTTGATTGAATCTGAGGGCTGGATCAGTCCTATATAGACTGCATAAGGGACTGGCTCTTGATGGCCCATAATGTCATTAAAGAAAAGGTTTAAATATTCCATGTGCCTACAGCGGCTCAATTATAAGTTTATCAAGCGACGAGAATACTTTTTGTGCGAAAAAAACATAAATAACGACTTTATTCCACTATTCCATTACTTCCTTATGGGCGCATGCGCGAGAACTGAGACGAGGACGTTCTCATTCGTCTACTTCTTGTTACCGGCTGCTCACCGCTTAGGAGTTTTACCGCCACCTACCGTATAAGATGATGTGCTGATATAGCTGGAAGCGCAAAACTTTCTGTTTACAAGCAGAGGAAGATGCGCGCTGTCAAACGCTTTTCAATTTGCGTATTTTCCGCACTATAAGGTGCACTTAAAAGCCTTAAATCTTCTCAAAAAACGACAGTGTTCCTTATAATCCGGAGCGCTTTATATATGGATCATCATTTTATACGGTAGGTGGCGGTAAAACTACTAAGCGGTGAGCAGCCGCCGGTAACAAGAAGTAGACGAATGAGAACGTCCTCGTCTCAGTTCTCGCGCATGCGCCCATAAGGAAGTAATGGAATAGTGGAATAAAGTCGTTATTTATGTTTTTTTCGCACAAAAAGTATTCTCGTCGCTTGATAAACTTATAATTGAGCCGCTGTAGGCACATGGAATATTTAAACCTTTTCTTTAATGACTTTATGGGCCGTCAAGAGCCAGTCCCTTAGGAAGCCTATGGAAGAGTGATCCAGCTCTCAGATTCAATCAAAAATATCTTTATTTGTGTTCCGAAGATGAACGAAGGTCTTACGGGGTTGGTACAGCATGGGGGTGAGTAATTAATGACTTAATTTTCATTTTTGGGTGAACTAACCCTTTAAAAAAAAGTTATTCATCATCTTTCTGACAAGTATTCCTTATATACAGTAGTTATAAGGGTTTTATGTAGTTTTTTGTCATTCAAAACACTTTGACCTAAAATACTTGCTTGATTTACCCTGTGACATTTTAAGTTAACATTTCAATGAAATTTAACTACACATTTGCATGTTCATGGTTCTCTGGTTTTTGGTTTAATGGTCACGTGACATGCAAGTATTCAAACAAAATATGAAAGGTTGACGAAGTTATTTATTTTTCTCCATTTATTTGATTTTGATATTTTTATGATTTGATTTATGATTAGGTTTTTGTCATCTGACAAACATCCTGCATTTCCCTAACGGATCCTCACAGGTTTGCCAACCCCAGTTTGGTGAACTGTTTTAGAGCTTGACTAAAAATAATTGCTTTCAAAAGACCTTTTGTGTCCCATCCCATCATGAGCATTGTTTTTAATATCAAGTTAAAAATCACATCTCGAGACGCCTTGTTCTTCATCTTGCTGTTTTTGAACAAAAAACCTGCAGCCTATTTAAATGGATACTAGTTCAGGAAACCTACAGACAGTCTGTTTTGAGAATGTAGATGTGGATTCCATAAAACTTCAAATAATAGCTGAGTCCCAAATAGACACCTGTCTCTTTTACACGCCTCGTGTGGCTGCAGGTTTGGGTAAATAAAACCTGCAGCCGGTCTCAAATAGAGGTCGAAGCCAGGTCTGTTTTTTAGTTTCGGTTTGTATTTAATCTTTTGAAACCCGTCAGATCGTCCGCTTTTTGGCGGCCGCCAAAGCAAATTTTTGTCCCGCCAAAGCTTTTTTGGTCGGTGAGTGATATAGAATAGAATGACTGCTGCGCTTGACAGGGCGCATAACGAGCAGAGAGAGAGAGAGAGATTGAGCGCCCCGGCCGCTCGCGCACTCTCATGTCTTCAAACAACACGAGCGCCGTCTTGCTCTCTCTCCCTCGCACATGTTAATCAAACCAATTGAAGCGATAGTAAAAAGTCGGAAGACCGCAGTTTTACGTGGAGCATTTAGAGAAATTTTTAGAGATTAAAGACTCTTGGCTTACACTCAATCGAACAACGTCTCAACACTGAATTATAAAGGTCTGTCTCATAGAAGCCTGTCTCAAATACAAGCTGGTGCAGTTCGGCGATTTGGGAAAATAAAAGCCTGGGCTATTATTTGAAGTTTTACGGTAACCCTAGTCAGCAATCATAGCCACGTCCCTCTCTCTTTTCTGCTTCAGATCTCTTGCGCAGACAGGAAGAGTTGAGGAGAATGGAGGAGGCTCATAGCCAGGAGGTGCAGAAACGGAAACAGATGGAGCTGCGTCAGGAGGAGGAGCGACGAAGGAGAGAGGAGGAGCTCCGTGCCCACTCCGAGGAACTGATGAGGCGGCAGCAGGGGCAGGGAGGAAACTTCCCTGAGAAAGTGAGTCCGAGTTTCCTGAGGTTTTCGAACTCCACAGTAGTGTTGTAACAGTACATTTCAGTAGTCGGTACCAATTTCTGTACCATAGCAAAAACTATTGTAACTATTTAATATTAGTAGTTTATCTAACTATTTGAAAATAAAAATATTAAAATTATTTAATTATTAATGTTATTTAAAATGCATTCAAATATTAGCATTTAGCCTTGAAATGTTTTAAAGGGTTAGTTAACTAAAAAAATAAATTAGTAAAATAAAAAAAATGTTATTTATTCACCCTTATTAGGAGACTAGATCTAGTTTTATAATTATCTAAAATAAAATGTAAAAACCTATTTTAATCATTCTTTTTTTAATCTCTTCCTCGTCATGAATATAGCCAGGGGAGCTGACATGGCATTAAACTATAAACAAACAAACTCACCCTCTTGTCGTTTCAAACCCATAAGACTTTCGTTCCTCTTCGGAACACAAATGAATGAAGATCTTTTTAATGAAATCTTAAAGCTTTCTGTCCCTCCATTGGCAGTATACGCATCTAATTCTTTACTACCTTTATGGAAAGTAATCTGTGTTACTCCGGTGATTTAACATCAATTTTATGAAGCGTGAGCTTTGTTTGCGCTTAAGAAAATATTTACCACTTTTTTTGGAATGACATGAGTAAATGATGACAGAATTTTAATTTTTGGGTGAACTATCCCTTCAATTTAAAAAAATCAAATGAAAAAATCTCTTATTGGCATAGTTTATAGTTTGGTTGTAATGAAACGTTTTGCGAGTGTGCTGAACAAAACGCCTCCAATTGGCCATTGTGTTCACATGGTTAAAAAACCCATCTGTGATTTTGCTACAATTTTCAATGCTGTAAGATCCCTTTGAAGCTCTACACAGAGCACTCATAAATTTGGATGGGAGTGTTTGAAGCCACTTAACATGTACTTGATTGACCCGGTATTCGGAACTCCCAGTACTGTAGAAAGGCTGGTATAGTTGCGTTTAACATTAAAGTATTGACTTAGTACCATACTTTTGACAACTCTATGCCACAGTTTGTCTGCATTTTAAATTCATGGACTGAATGTTTGCTGTTTCAGAGGGATCCAGATATGAGGATGCAAATGGGAGGTGAGAAAGCCACTCCACACATACAAAAAACATCTTTGAGTGGTTGAAAGGGCTTAAAGATCCTGTTCCTGTTATTTCACCCTATTTTGGACTTGGAGAAATTGTGTAGTTAATCTTTCCATGATCTGTCTTTTATTTTTGTTATATAAACAATTGATAGATTCTCACTTTTTGTCAATATTTCCAATGTATTACCCATTTGAGCCTGACATTTCTTTCTCTATTGGGCTGAAAGGTCAGGGAATGGCTATGAACAGGAGCCCGATGGGTGGAAATCCCACAGCAGCAGGAGCTGCCGGCATGGCTTCCAGTGAGGTACTACAGATCTCAACACACACATTGACAACTTTCAGGGCAGCATGCAAGGAGTAGTGTTGTAAGCTGCTTTCTCTCTCTTTCAGCAGGGGTCTGCCGGTAATCCAGGTGGTCTTCCTCTTCCTTTCCCTCGTTCTGGAGCTATGGACTTTGGCCCCAACAAACGCCGCAGATTCTAGAAGACCAGCCAAATGTCTTTCCTTTTTGTTTTGTTTTTTTTTACACACTGTAAAATATTTTTAAGTGCAGATTGTGGTTTCGTAGAGCCTGGGTATGCATTTCATTTCACAAATGAGTTTGTGTAGGCAAATGTTTTAAACAGGTTAAAAGTATAGGTTTTAAGTTGCTCTGTGTGATCTCCCATCTCCAGCAGGAGCCTTAAGGGATGTTTCCTGAAACTGATTGAGCCCAGTTCTGGGGTAAAAGACCTTTATGCTTATGATTTCTTACTGAAGAGTCTTCATCTAGGGATGATGATTTATCTGTATGGAAAGAACTTCAGGGTGGTCATTCAGCTCTGTATAGCCCTATTTTCTTCTTCTTTTTTTATTATTAATTCCTTTTCTAAAGTATAGATTAGCCTTTGTCCGTCTTGTCCTCTGCAATGCTTGCCTTTCTAGTCAACTTTCAAATAAATTCACAACTACATGTTACATACATTTCAGTGTTACTGGTAGCATTCTTGGACTTTAATTTATTTGTCTTTGTACATGAGGTGTAGCCTGACTTCGTCATACTCGTATTCAAGAGAGAATATGAGTCTGAGACTCCTCCATTGGGCTTTGATTATGAGGCGTGTCGTAACCGAACCAGGAAAAAAAAAACCTCTGCACTCAAGTGGATTGTCAGTAGACCTACAACCAATCAGAGCAACGCATAAGTCAACTCATTTGCATAGCGCAGTTTTCAAATACAGAACGTAGCCTACTTTATTTATTTTAGAAGTTAAATAACGAGTGTTACTTCTTTTACTTACTTCTCCATGAGTGCCATCAAAGGAGAAACCACAACGACCACAGGCTTTTCATTACGTCCCATCTTCTTAATGAGTCAGCTGATAAGTTACACTTTTCCGGAATCATGTAGGAAGAACGCAAAAAATATATTTCCGATCTACAAATGCCTTGATTGCAGTTCTCTGTTTGTCTATTAAAATGAATGCGCTGTCGATTTATTTTACAAAAGCGTGCGACAGTGGAATCTACATCTCAATTCTCCAGCTGCAGTCATCTCTGAGGGAAGACAGTTAAGCACTCTTTGATAATGTGATTACGTCCCTGCAGATCAGCTGTCCATCATCGTATAAAGCCCGCCCTGGCATTTGATTGGCCCGTTCATTTTTTTGCCTGATCATAATTAGCACTACTCCTCAATGGATCGAGTCCAGACCGAACTTCCCGACCAAAAAATATTGTGGGCGGAGTTCGGGCTGGCATCCAGGCTACATGAGGTCTGTTACAAAGAAGAAATTATAGTTTCAAACTAGATGTCCCAAACACACTCTTATTTTGCATTTCCTATTACCAGGATAAAGAGGAGGGTTTGCTGTTGGACCAGTTTATGAGTGTCGCCTGAACTTTAACTGGATTTCTCATTGAACGGTCATTATCTGGGGTCTCATTTATAAAACTGTGTGTAGAAACCTTACTAAAAGTGCACATGCAGCCGAAAATGGTGTATTCATGCCAAAAAATATTCAGACTTATAAAACTGCCTATGCCAATACAACAGCTCAAAATTCCCTTTATAAATTGCAGTCAGCGGAAGATTGTGCACACATGCATCTCCTTCCCGAAATTACCACATATGGAGCTTACAACACTTAGTTTTACTATGCATATTGTTCTCTGTATAACATGTGCATATGCATTCATTCACATGAGACTATATTTAACGCCGGTACAAGACATAACGAAAATATGAGATAGGGTCCCGTCACATTACATTGCTAAAAATTATTTAGTAGCTTATCCTTGCCTTGTTTTATAACGTTAAAGAAATCAAACAGTATTAAATACTTTTCAGAGAAAGTTGTAATCTTTTCCAATGGCCAAATTGTATTTTTAATTGCAACAGATGTCTTAATGTGCATTATGGATCCAGAAAATTTTCCTGTCAAGTTTGTTTCAATAAATCACAACTTAAGCTTCGGAAGCATACTATCTGTTAACACTCCTTTTTATCACACCCATCTTCCGCCCCAATCCTGTTTTGTTATTTCTCCCCGGAAACTCCCGTTTGCCTAATTAATTTGTGTTGCCACCCCCATTTAAAAGGCTAATATGACATTAATTCATTATTCTGAGGTTGTCCAGTTGACATATTGTATGAAACGCATCATACAAAATTTAAACCATTTGTGACCTCAACCTGGCAATTAACAACCCAGTTGCGCAATTGATACCTGTGCAGGTAGTAGACGTGGGAAGTTGAATAAAGCATCACTGGTAGAAATGGGAGAAGACTAACGCAATTAGTTAGTAAATGTTTAACTCAATTGTCGCAGAGTCCATCTTTCTGTCATCCTTTGGCTATCCGCTTCCATTATATGATGCACTCTACTGCCTCTTCAAACCAGCATCCTCCGAAGGCCGATTGCGTCAAATTGGTCATGGTCGGCCCTGAGTGAGGCTGGTTTTCATTCATAAAAAGATGGCAAGTATTTTAAATATAATATTTTAAAATAAACTGCCTTTATGTTGTTTCTACATATATATTTTTAATAGTGATTAATAGGCTAATTTTGGTATCCAAATGTTGACAGGTAGGCCCATGGTCGGAAGTGGCGCCCGCGCCCGCCTCCCTTTGAGGCCCCTCAACTCCATACTTTAATAATTTGTCAGGCATGTTTATTTTATGGATATTACTGTTATAAATTGGCTTAGTTTAAATAAAAAAACATTAGCTTAAGATATATTTCAATTTTTTGTTCGATCATACATTTTCATGCAACAAGTTAGGCTATTTTACTCAAAATGTGTGCCCATCTGATAATTCATGTGAAATAGGTTAACTAATAGTTTAGTTATAATGATAAGACGATAACGATAAAACTAATGATGAAACGATTATGCCTAGCTATTTGTATGGTATATTGGACTCTACCGGTTCCTCGAATAGTTCCATCCCCCCTTTAGATTATGGCACATGTAGGAGGGGCTTTACTCATATATGATTTTACATAGGAACGACTACGCCATTTTGCACCTTTTCTCGGCAGAAGCTATACATAAAAATATATTTTATTTTTTTACGACGAAATGGCAGGTAAGACAAACCTATATTAATAATTTGTGTGTGAGAGTTTGAAAACTTAAATAGTTTGGTTTGGCGTAGTATTCATTTGTGAAGAAATCGCTCAACAAGAATGAGATGAAAAAGTGAAAGTAAAAAAAAAGTTGCCTAACGTTACCTGTATTTTAAGAAAAAGACATCCAAACGTTTCCAATCTATGTTAAGATTGAAGACATATAGCAGACTACAATTACGGAAAGTAATTTGAGGTAGTGCTAAAAACATTCAGAAACTTGAGAAAATTAGTAAAATAGCATTGAATATCATCTGGCAATAATTAAATTGAATAGGCCTATGCAAAACATTTTACTTAACAATGTGCTTTCTTTTAGAAAAAGTCTTGGAAAAATGTCGCATTAAACTGAGGGATGGTTTGACCGAGCCTGTTATCAAAAGTTTGTCCGATCATCTTCAGGAAGAAAATGTGTTAGGCAAAGAGGAGGTTGAAGAAATATTGCAGAGGACCAAAACGCGAACTGATCAAGCTCGTGATCTGATTGACAGCGTGGTGAGAAAGGGGTCGAAAGCAAGTGAAATTCTGCTCAAATGTTTGGAGAAAAGAGACAAGTATGTTTACGACTCCTTAAACATAGACAGCTATTCAGCAATTCAGGAAGCAGGAGCGACCTCTAGTCACCCTACTATAACGACAGGTAGTACAGTACAATTTCATGAATTATTAAAAAAATCATATTTAGCTTTCATCGTTTCTTGGTCAATTTTACTTTTACAGTTTTGAAAAAAAATGACATTTTCATAATTAGTTTTTCTTAAAGTGTGTTTTACAATTAAACTTTGTACAATGGTTAAAGACTTATGATACTCTTGTCCCCCCCAGATAAACCAAACACCACGGTAATGAAGTGGAGGGAGCAAGATGCAACATTTTGAAATGATACTTTTCTCACAAATTATTACATTTTCAGACTTTCCAGATTTTATTCTTGAATGTTGAATGTGCTCTGTAACGCCTGCTCTTTTGTTCTAGACTGAAGAGTACAAAATGGACAGTTATCCACGTGGACTTTGTGTAATAATTAATAATGAGACCTTTAAAAACCCCGAACGTAAACGAAATGGATCCCAAAAAGATGTTGGTATGCAGTAAATGATTTTTCATTTTTGATGTGTATGAACCACAAAACAACACATCCTTCCTTTGAGAAGAGCTTATTGAACTATGCATTGTTCCAGTTTTTCTTTTTTTCCCCTCTTCATTTTCTTTATTTCATTTGTAATTACTCTGTGGTCATGGATTTTATGACCTTTACTTTATTTACTTGTCTTAGTTATATGTATTTTTTTTCCCCCAGAAAGACTGAAATCCTTGTTTGAATATTTGGGCTTTCTGGTTGAAATCAAGAAGGATCAGACCACATCTGAAATAAAACAACTCATGATCGATTACAGTAAGGATCACCGTCATGGAGACTGCTTTGTATGTTGCGTGATGAGTCATGGAAACGAGAATGGTGTTGAGGGATGTGATGCCAAAGTCCTAGCCTCTGGTGATGAGCAAATGTGTCCCCTGAATGACATCATCTCTCCATTTGATGGAGACAAATGCACCTCTCTTATTGGCAAACCTAAAGTCTTCTTTATACAAGCATGTAGAGGGCATGAGATGCAGAGTAAAGTTCTGGTTGCAGATGGTCCTGGTTCCAGCCGTATCCAGACATCTGGCACAAAATACAGCATTGCCAAAGATTCTGATTTTCTAATTGCCATGTCCACGGTGGAGGGATATAAGGCGATTCGTAATAAAAACAACGGGTCATGGTTTATACAGTCCCTTTGCAACCATTTAGAAGATGGAAGTAAACGGTGAGCTATCCACTTCACTGGCCTTTTTTTTTTTTTTTTTTTTGCATGCAGTAAAACTAATGGTTATTTTAAGCCTGTTTGGTTTATATGTTAAATTGTTTCTTCCTTCATGTTTAGAGGCCAGGACATCTTGAGGATCCTCACTAAAGTCAATGATGAAGTAAGCCGTGCGGAGGGCATTATAGTCGAAGACAACAAAACAATAGATGCAAAGATGACTCCTCAGCCCTATTTCACTCTGAGAAAACTTCTTGTTTTCAGAGCTCCAAAGGTCAGAACTTAATCTTGTTTTATTTATTCATTACAGACATCGATTCAAGTTCTGTGCAGTGTGTTATGCTGTGTAAATTCAAAACTGAATATTGTTCTGTTGATGCATCTTCTTAAACTTGAATTCCATATGTTCAAAGTAGCAGTCTTGTGGTTTCTGTACATTGTTGTGGTGTGATATTTTTCAGTTCAATCTACAATAGAAAATTTCCATTGAACAACATTTCAGTTAAAAAAAATATTTATCAAATCGAGCTCTCTCTTCATTCCC